GGCATCCAATTTCCATTGGCTGAGCGAAATGGCATCCAATTTCCATTGGCTGAGCGAAACGGCATCCAATTTCCATTGGCTGAGCGAAACGGCATCCAATTTCCATTGGCTGAGCGAAATGGCATCCAATTTCCATTGGCTGAGCGAAATGGCATCCAATTTCCATTGGCTGAGCGAAATGGCATCCAATTTCCATTGGCTGAGCGAAATGGCATCCAATTTCCATTGGCTGAGCGAAATGGCATCCAATTTCCATTGGCTGAGCGAAATGGCATCCAATTTCGATTGGCTGAGCGAAATGGCATCCAATTTCCATTGGCTGAGCGAAACGGCATCCCATTTCCATTGGCTGAGCGAAATGGCATCCAATTTCCATTGGCTGAGCGAAATGGCATCCAATTTCCATTGGCTGAGCGAAATGGCATCCAATTTCCATTGGCTGAGCGAAATGGCATCCAATTTCCATTGGCTGAGCGAAATGGCATCCAATTTCCATTGGCTGAGCGAAATGGCATCCAATTTCCATTGGCTGAGCGAAATGGCATCCAATTTCCATTGGCTGAGCGAAATGGCATCCAATTTCCATTGGCTGAGCGAAATGGCATCCAATTTCCATTGGCTGAGCGAAATGGCATCCAATTTCCATTGGCTGAGCGAAACGGCATCCAATTTCCATTGGCTGAGCGAAACGGCATCCAATTTCCATTGGCTGAGCGAAATGGCATCCAATTTCCATTGGCTGAGCGAAATGGCATCCAATTTCCATTGGCTGAGCGAAATGGCATCCAATTTCCATTGGCTGAGCGAAATGGCATCCAATTTCCATTGGCTGAGCGAAATGGCATCCAATTTCCATTGGCTGAGCGAAATGGCATCCAATTTCCATTGGCTGAGCGAAATGGCATCCAATTTCCATTGGCTGAGCGAAACGGCATCCAATTTCCATTGGCTGAGCGAAATGGCATCCAATTTCCATTGGCTGAGCGAAATGACATCCAATTTCCATTGGCTGAGCGAAATGGCATCCAATTTCCATTGGCTGAGCGAAATGGCATCCAATTTCCATTGGCTGAGCGAAATGGCATCCAATTTCCATTGGCTGAGCGAAATGGCATCCAATTTCCATTGGCTGAGCGAAATGGCATCCAATTTCCATTGGCTGAGCGAAATGGCATCCAATTTCCATTGGCTGAGCGAAACGGCATCCAATTTCCATTGGCTGAGCGAAATGGCATCCAATTTCCATTGGCTGAGCGAAATGGCATCCAATTTCCATTGGCTGAGCGAAATGGCATCCAATTTCCATTGGCTGAGCGAAACGGCATCCAATTTCCATTGGCTGAGCGAAATGGCATCCAATTTCCATTGGCTGAGCGAAATGGCATCCAATTTCCATTGGCTGAGCGAAATGGCATCCAATTTCCATTGGCTGAGCGAAACGGCATCCAATTTCCATTGGCTGAGCGAAATGGCATCCAATTTCCATTGGCTGAGCGAAATGGCATCCAATTTCCATTGGCTGAGCGAAATGGCATCCAATTTCCATTGGCTGAGCGAAACGGCATCCAATTTCCATTGGCTGAGCGAAATGGCATCCAATTTCCATTGGCTGAGCGAAATGGCATCCAATTTCCATTGGCTGAGCGAAATGGCATCCAATTTCCATTGGCTGAGCGAAACGGCATCCAATTTCCATTGGCTGAGCGAAATGGCATCCAATTTCCATTGGCTGAGCGAAATGGCATCCAATTTCCATTGGCTGAGCGAAATGGCATCCAATTTCCATTGGCTGAGCGAAATGGCATCCAATTTCCATTGGCTGAGCGAAATGGCATCCAATGTCCATTGGCTGAGCGAAATGGCATCCAATTTCCATTGGCTGAGCGAAATGGCATCCAATTTCCATTGGCTGAGCGAAATGGCATCCAATTTCCATTGGCTGAGCGAAATGGCATCCAATTTCCATTGGCTGAGCGAAACGGCATCCAATTTCCATTGGCTGAGCGAAATGGCATCCAATTTCCATTGGCTGAGCGAAATGGCATCCAATTTCCATTGGCTGAGCGAAATGGCATCCAATTTCCATTGGCTGAGCGAAATGGCATCCAATTTCCATTGGCTGAGCGAAATGGCATCCAATTTCCATTGGCTGAGCGAAATGGCATCCAATTTCCATTGGCTGAGTGAAATGGCATCCAATTTCCATTGGCTGAGCGAAATGGCATCCAATTTCCATTGGCTGAGCGAAATGGCATCCAATTTCCATTGGCTGAGCGAAATGGCATCCAATTTCCATTGGCTGAGCGAAACGGCATCCAATTTCCATTGGCTGAGCGAAATGGCATCCAATTTCCATTGGCTGAGCGAAATGGCATCCAATTTCCATTGGCTGAGCGAAATGGCATCCAATTTCCATTGGCTGAGCGAAATGGCATCCAATTTCCATTGGCTGAGCGAAACGGCATCCAATTTCCATTGGCTGAGCGAAACGGCATCCAATTTCCATTGGCTGAGCGAAATGGCATCCAATTTCCATTGGCTGAGCGAAATGGCATCCAATTTCCATTGGCTGAGCGAAATGGCATCCAATTTCCATTGGCTGAGCGAAATGGCATCCAATTTCCATTGGCTGAGCGAAACGGCATCCAATTTCCATTGGCTGAGCGAAATGGCATCCAATTTCCATTGGCTGAGCGAAATGGCATCCAATTTCCATTGGCTGAGCGAAATGGCATCCAATTTCCATTGGCTGAGCGAAATGGCATCCAATTTCCATTGGCTGAGCGAAATGGCATCCAATTTCCATTGGCTGAGCGAAACGGCATCCAATTTCCATTGGCTGAGCGAAATGGCATCCAATTTCCATTGGCTGAGCGAAATGGCATCCAATTTCCATTGGCTGAGCGAAATGGCATCCAATTTCCATTGGCTGAGCGAAATGGCATCCAATTTCCATTGGCTGAGCGAAATGGCATCCAATTTCCATTGGCTGAGCGAAATGGCATCCAATTTCCATTGGCTGAGCGAAACGGCATCCAATTTCCATTGGCTGAGCGAAATGGCATCCAATTTCCATTGGCTGAGCGAAATGGCATCCAATTTCCATTGGCTGAGCGAAATGGCATCCAATTTCCATTGGCTTAGCGAAATGTCATCCAATTTCCATTGGCTGAGCGAAATGGCATCCAATTTCCATTGGCTGAGCGAAATGGCATCCAATTTCCATTGGCTGAGCGAAATGGCATCCAATTTCCATTGGCTGAGCGAAATGGCATCCAATTTCCATTGGCTGAGCGAAACGGCATCCAATTTCCATTGGCTGAGCGAAACGGCATCCAATTTCCATTGGCTGAGCGAAATGGCATCCAATTTCCATTGGCTGAGCGAAACGGCATCCAATTTCCATTGGCTGAGCGAAACGGCATCCAATTTCCATTGGCTGAGCGAAATGTCATCCAATTTCCATTGGCTGAGCGAAATGGCATCCAATTTCCATTGGCTGAGCGAAATGGCATCCAATTTCCATTGGCTGAGCGAAATGGCATCCAATTTCCATTGGCTGAGCGAAATGGCATCCAATTTCCATTGGCTGAGCGAAATGGCATCCAATTTCCATTGGCTGAGCGAAACGGCATCCAATTTCCATTGGCTGAGCGAAACGGCATCCAATTTCCATTGGCTGAGCGAAATGGCATCCAATTTCCATTGGCTGAGCGAAACGGCATCCAATTTCCATTGGCTGAGCGAAACGGCATCCAATTTCCATTGGCTGAGCGAAACTGCACCTCAAGTCCCTTTGGCCAAAAGCACAGCAACGCAGATACTTCGTCACGGAAGCCAGTGGGGAGCTCAATGTCAAAGCGGACGCGCCTCAGGAAAAATAAAACACAAAGAAAAGCGGAGGAACGCAGATGCATCGTCACGAAAGCCGAGGAACCGGCGGGGTTGCTGCGCCTGCACAGTGGGGGAGCGTGATGTAACTGCCGGAGCGTGGTGTGGAAATGGAAGGCAGGCCGCGCTGCTTGTAGGAATGCGCTGTGTGTAGGAATGCCTTTCGCATTCCTACTTGTAAGCAATCTTAAGTGTCTTTTAAACCCTTTTTCTGGGCGTCAGATTTTAGTCACGATGACCTGCGTTTTGTTGCCTCACCGTGATGCCCAGTCACTGCGTTTTAAACGTAGCACTTTCCGCGGATTGCCCACGAGTAGAGTAACGTTGAAAGCTGAAGAATCCCTTCGCGATGGCGGACAGAACAGAGCGGAAGCGGTTGGAAAGCTGGGACATTAAAAATTGTCTGTTTGTTCACTTTGGAGTGAAGAGAGGAATTCCACTTCGCCGGCGCTATCATATGTAGCTCAACATTTTTAGCTTTCGTGGTGTCGGGACATGACGGGCGCTAGGAGTTGTCTAGAACTTGCTCGTGATCCTTGCGACGCGCTTCTCGCTTATTTTTTTTCGCCAGACTAACTGTGATTTACTGCAAGAACGAAGAAGCGCGAGGAAGTATTTGAGTCAGGAATCCTCTACGCCAGGGACAGAATCAGCGCAACTATTCCTGAACTTCTCAACCTCGAATTTCAGCCACGTTGGCGGGAAAAATTTTCTGCTAAGTTCAGCGGGGAAGGTACGCAGGAGGAGCACAGTCCCCTCCTCCTCCTCAAGAGCTGTGCTCTAACTCGGCGCTACAGAAAGTTGTAAACGGCTTTCTTTTTTTTTTTTTATCCCAGAATACAACGATGTTGTTGCGGCGCGTTGCCCCTTTAAATGGAACAAAACGTGACTAATTTTAATCAAAACTAACGAGAAACGTAATTTAATAAACGATACCGCGAAACAGTAAAAAAAAAATTAACTAAGCGTTAGTCATTTCGGACTCTAACGATTACATTCGTATACATTACCGAGAAACATAACATGTTACTAGTAACGTCGTTACTTTTAACGCGTTACTTCAAACACTGGGCATAATGCGGCTTCTGAAGTCAGGTAGAAAGACTTACCTGTTTGATCGTAGGTTCCTTTCGGTTTCCGTCCGTTGCAGTTTTTGTAGCTAAGACATTCGGCGCAAAAGCAGGAGCAACTGTAAAAGCACCTCTCTCCGATCCTTGAACTGCTCCTTTACACGCGCATCAAGGCCTGGGGAAGTGAGGAGCGCTTGCTGTTATTTTCGTTGTTATCTGGGTAGCCGTATACGATCATCCAGCGCATTATCAGCTGGCAAGAAAAAAAAAAGAAGGAAAGTGTGTTGGTGTGATTCAGATAGCAACTTCAAAAACAAAGAGGCACTGCCGTCTGTCAAACTGTTCCAGTTCCCGGGAGTACGATGATTTTTGGGACGACCTGTACTTAGATATAATGGTTACGACACCCAATTTGTATCCTCCCCCCGCCACTTTTTTTAGATCCAGAATGTCCCTACACAAAGAACGAAAACCTATGGTGTACGGACCCCTTTGAGCCCCTTCCAGAAACGTACAGCACACCGCCAGATTGACAGTCCTAGATAAACCCCCTGGCTCGGCAATCTAACCTCATTATGCATTGAATTTTATTTTTTAAAGAACCTAAACCGTGGCATCTAACTAGGGAAGTGACAAATTTTAACGGAACAAGTATACTTGAATTAGCAGACTTTCGAAACGCATCGCTAGTTTTATCAGCGTAATGATTGGAGCTAGGGGTTTATCCAGGATTATATAAATCAGGGTTTGCGTACTTTGTGTAGTGTGTTCTAGGTCAAAAAGGGTGTGGGGGGAGGTACAAATCGGGTCCCTAAACAGGTATCTTGAAGCACCGGTCGTCCACGGCCGCAGAGCTAATGTCCACGCAGTGTTAGACCCATCCGCGCTCGCATTCATGTCATATATCTCCCTGACCTGTTAACAAAGACTCAAGGCACGCAAGGAGACGCCACAGAATTGTTGTTGATAATTCTGTCGCGTGCTTTTTTATCGCCACACAATCGTCACCTGAACCGTCATCTAGAGGTCGATGTCTCGAGGTACCTGATAAAGGGGCTCTAAAGTGTATTTTTACATTCGTCGCTTGATGATGATAACGCTTCCCATCCATCCTATAAAATCTGGAATTAAATCCATGCGTGGGACTGTAGCCTCCTGTATACTCACAAAGCCTGGCAGTTCGACGACGGAGCCATTGAGTATTCCGGTCCCAGATTTGGAGCGCGAGGATCTGGTAGCACAGAGCATCAAAGAACACTTTCTCGCGGAACCTGGACGTCAGCGCACAGCTTTTGTAGCGGCGAGGACCCGAAACACACTTGTTCGCTCGGGAGTGTGTTTCGGTGTCTCACCGCAGCGTGTGTACCGGCGTTTCGCCGTAGTGGGGGCACCAGTCACGTGGATCTCCTCTCATCCGTTGTGCGCGGTTCCACCTTTTCCTTTTTGGCGGCCGTTTCTCGTGGCGATCTGCCAGGCTTTGTCAGTATATAGGAGGCCCATAGTCGCACTTTTTTCTACTAAAAACGCGAGAAGACATCGTCACACGCCCTTTTGACTAAGACATATACGATATGTCACTGTCTTAGGAAGAAAAATAAAGGACCACACATGATCGTAATTTAAGATTTTGCGGGACTTTTACGCCGCGTAAGTTTAGTTAGCGTCATAAACAAATTCCCACTGTACCCCTTGGAATTCCAAAAACCTTGCAGACAATGCAAAGGAATGACAAGTTATACTTGCTCTCCGAAGTTGTGAGGCATCTTTCCCCGAACTACCTTAGAACTGTAAGTTGCCATTAAGTCACAATGGAATTTTATTTTCAATCAGAGATCCAAGTATATCAGAAGTGTTTGTTTCTAGACACTTCACAATTAAATCTTTTTTTTTTTTAATTTATTAAGAAGCCACGCCTATCATCGAACGAACGTTGAAGATCATAGGCCTGTTGCTCTCGGCCAGGGGGCGCGAAAGCGTACGTACGACGCGACCGACCGTACCGTACTTTCATCGAGCATAAAGCTGCGCTGCAGCGTTCGGTCATGCACGTGCCACAGCCGTTTACAACCGTGTGTCAGCATTTGTCTACGGGCTGTATCATTGCACTCACGCTGAAGCCCGGTTTAAAGGGTGCGACTTTACTTGCGATTTCGCAGTCGCGACAGAGCTCGTGCAGCAAAAAAGAAGAAAAAAAAAAGCGTGGTGGAAGTCGCGGTTCACGCGGCTGCTTAAAGATCCAGTAGAAATTGACGCTCATTTAATGAGGAAAACGAGCGGATCCACTCGCGGTTGCGATTCGAACGCCACGGTATAAATTCAGTCTTAATAGGTATGGACACGAAATCTTTTCACTTGTATCTTCGTTTTAATGTTGTCTATGTTGTAGCGGCAGCCCAGAAATACTAGTCTAGGCTAGCGTTTCTGGGCTGCAGGCAAAAAGTAAAGAAAACTATTTTTAAAACAAATACACAGATCTCCAAACTGCATCTGGTGGAGGTCCGTGAAACTTTGTTGGAATTCCGCCACGTCATGAGTATCTAAGAAACAGCGCCAGTTCGCGGCAGTATGACGCGCTCGTGGAGTTATTTATGGCGATATTCCACAGGTAGTTTTGGAGCGCGCTGGGATCGACTTTTCTGGAGCGCGCCTATTTCACTGGGCGGTCGGAATCGAGACGGACGTGGTCCTCCTAGTCGTTTCAAGGCCGGTTCTCACATGCAGCGGAGCGCTGATGTAGCGCTTCTCACGTGCCGTCAGCGACTTATCGTCTGCCATGAGCAACAGTCTTGACGGTGCGATACAAAGCTGGTGAACGCTCCCGTCAGCACGCGCTTAGCGCGAGGTAAGCGCTATGCTTGTAGCGCTCCGCTGCATGTGTGAACAGGCCTTTAGTTACCACTCCAGATTTCGATCCGCACCCGAGAAAACTCGCTCCGCCGATTTCGGCGGACTCAACCGGATGCTAGCCTGGCCAGCCCCCGGTGCGCACACGCGCACAGCTCCTCCAGCCGCAGTCGCAATGGTCGCACGTGCCAAAACGAAAAGCCATCCCAACACACGCAGCCTCGGCCCATTGCGCGCATCAGCGTACCCTACGTCAGCGGGACCAGCGAAGCGCTAGCGCGTGTGCTAAGGAGAGAAGGCATCCAAGTGTCACACAGGCCTGTGTCCACACTGGAACGATTCATGCTGCGACCCAAAGATCGCATCCCAAAAACAAGAGCACTGATGGTGGTCTACAACATCCCATGTGCAAAGTGTCCCGCTACTTACATCGGCGAGACGAAAAACTTTTCTCAGCGCGTCACACAGCATAAAAACGACGTACGCAAGTTTGACCGCGAGCGCAGCGCCGTCACGGGACACTGCGAAGTTCACGACCATCCAATCGACTTCGCAAACGCGCAAGTAATTGAAACGAAGCCACACTTCCAAAAAAGGCTTTTCCTGGAGTCTTGACCCATGCAACACACACCGGAAAACATAAACAAGTCCCTGACTGCTTTGCCAACGGTGGACGTCCATGGATTGCGCCATCTGACGACGGCTACAAGCGAGAAACCATCTGTATAAAAGAAGAAGAAAACTGGGGTCGAAAACAACTAAGAAGAAGATTAAAACTGCCGCTGCTATTCGCGATTTACCGCCGAATTCAGAAACCTCACTCAAACTACACTCAAACTGAAGGGCCCCTCCACTTCCTCGAGGAAGGCGCGAGGGCCGGCGCCGGCCAATCGCGACGGCGGATCCGTCCTCGCGATTGGCCAGCCCCGGCCCTCGCGCCTTCCTCCAGGAAGTGCAGGGGCCCTTCAGTTTGAGTGTAGTTTGAGTCAGGTTTCTGAATTCGGCGGTTAGTTACCCCTGATGAAGGAACCGAGCAGGTATCTTCCGCCTAAACCTAAGCTCATAAGTTCATCTTCAACACAATTAGAAAACGGAATTCTGGGGCACACTTGCCTAGACGCCAATATGAAGAATTTAAAAACAACGTCAAACATTAATAGATTAAAACTTCTGTGATCTTTTATCCGCGGCAAGTTTAATATTTGAATTGAACAATATATCACCTTCTCATCGACCAGATCGGCAAGAATCGGCCACACCAGATCACTTCGGCAATACAGATTTTAACATAAATGTTTTTAAATATTTATTTTTCCCTTGGACAATTCAGGAGAGGAATTCACTTTCAAGCGATATTTTCACGCTTTCACTACTCACCAGTTTTGATAACGCACTTCATAAGATATAAGTTTAGATCAAACTTTGGGGGTGTATTTATTGTGTATATTTTACGAAAAATTTCCCTCCTGCTAATGCTTTCACCGAAAGCCGCAACATATTCATTAAATAAATTAAAATAACATAACATAACCGATGCTACGGTGGATGCATCTTAAAGTTCGGCTGGAATTCGTGTACACTTAGTGAGGAACGATGACGCAGCACTCGTGTCCATTTTGTGCACACACTTGCCACATCTCCAGGTGACGCCGAAAAATAAAAACGCCATTGCTATCCAGGAAGCTTTATCGTTCCAAAGGCCTTTCCAATGTTCCCCCTGCACAACCTGGAAAGTAACTCCAAATACCCTGCTAGAAAATGCATTTTACTTTAAGAAAACCCAATGGACTTGGCGCCGACGGCTTTAGCGTAGTTGGAACGACCGGACGCGCGCTACCTCGAGGATTTCACCTTTCAATTGGGAGGGTGGCTGCCACCATCTATCGTCGTGGAAAAAAAAAAAAAAAAAAAACGTCGAGAGAGGAGCAGAGACAGCTGTCTCTGCTATCTTGGCGAATTCGGTATTTCGGTGCGTCGGCCCTCTCCCTCGGCGCAGCGCGAAAACGCAACAGCCTACAGCGTGATGCGCATTGCGCATGCATGCGAATTCTCTGGGACGGGGGGTTTCCGCTCCGCTAGGGGAGGATTTGGCGCTGTAGGCGCACATTCCAATGCAAACGAGCGAAGGGGAATGCAATCTCCTATAGACCTTAACAACCTCCGTCGCATGGGCGCTGCCATCTTGGAATCACGTGATGCGGCCGCCATAAGGTGGCTTTAGCTCGACGCTCCACTCACGCCTGCGCGCCTTGCTGAATGAGTTGTATTTGTGCTTTCCATCGTGTTTCACCGTAATATTTGGCCTTGGTCTGTAAAGTGTCGCTTATGTTTATTTCCTAGTTTCGTGTC